CTCAAGAATATCTTCCAAATGGTATAAAGAATAAAAAAAATTTAATAGTATTTGAATTTTTGATTAATTTACTAGACCCAAAAAATCTAATAAAATCAGAAAGATGAATTTATTGCAAGGCTTTTAAAGAACTTAAATTTTCATTACTTTTTTCCATTTCATCTTTATCTTTTCTTTACTTCTAAGCTTAAATGCTATAATAATAAAGTCTGCATATCAATGGGCACACTTTAATTATATATTTTAAAATAAGAAAGTGTTAAAAAGTTTGAAATCATTCAATTTATGTAAGTAATTACATTTTTAATTACTCTCCATGTGTACAATAAAATATAAGGAAGGACAGTGTTAATTTTATGATTATTTCCTATAAGAGCCTTGAATTTATTTAAAATTAAACTTTGTGTTTTAATTACGGAAATGTTGTACTAAAATGTAGGAATTTGGAAAAAAAATAACACATTCTTTTAAAATTAATGATACTATAGAGGTTTGACAAAAATCTTAGAAAATATTCCTCGCATTCATATGCAATTTAATTGCTCTTGCGGGACATATTTTTCGGTTGTAATCATAAAAAATATGCTGTTTTAATAAATATTTAAATCATTAAAATTATTTTTAATACTCTTAACCTCAATTAAATTTAATGTTCACAATTTAATTAATTTCAATAGATGTATAAAAATTATCAATAAATTTATCTTAAATAAATTACCTGACTTAAATACAAAATTTTAATAAAAGTATTTGAAATGATACCAACAATACTTTTGATATGATTTTTCAAGATTTGGCGTCGTTTCGTACCTCCATATAGTCATTAAGTAAAAAATAAACGAATAAGTCAAAATAGTTTATTATTATTAAATTGTTGCCAAAAAAGGAGTCAAGACTCAACTTCCTACGGCAACAGCCACCTTGACTCGTGGTAGTAATTTCACTTAAACTTTTATAAAATACAACAGTCCTAATAAAATATTTGCTATGATATCTCAAAAGCTCTTACCGAAAATATCGGCTATGAATTACCATATCGGTTTATCGAAAATTTCAATTATCAAGAAAGCTGTACCTTAAGTAATAACTAATCTACGACCATATTAAAGAGTATAGTTTTAAAATTTGGACGTTTTTCAAATAAATGCAAAAAGATTTATTTTTTTCAATAACTTGATATTTTATTTACAATGCTTTCTTGATATCCTATCATGCATCATACAATTTCTACACATTGCATAGTTTTAGGGAAAATAAAAACAAAACCCCAACTGAAGTAAATTATAAAATTAATTCTTTCTAGTTTATAATAGTTTCTTTTTTAACTTATTTGTTTCTAAGATGAAACAAATTTTTTTGTTGCGAATCAGAAGCAGAAGAAGATTCAAAAAAAATTTTATTGTCACTGATAATTAATGTCTAAATGAAAAATTTTCTTCATTCACAAAATTAATTTTTGAGGTAGACATAAGAGTAATAGACATGTTTCATGCAATATGTTTACACTGGTACTAAATCAATATTGTCAATCAAATTCGAATTTATTATTTATTTTTACAAAATTTTAAATCAAAAGTTACATTTATTATTGATATTATATTTATTTATCATTAAATTGTTTGAAATTTTAGATTTGTTTAAATTAATAAATTAGCCGTGACAATGTAATAGAAAATTTATTGTAGATAACCCAATTTTACTATGCTAAAATAAGCTATTAATTTATAGGCTGAAATAAAAAACACATATTTATGCACATTAATTTCTTTAAAAGTTAATAATGCGGTTCTATCAATTTTATTACAAATTTGTCTTAGTTTAATTTTAAATCGCATATAATTTAGTGCACTAGCATGAATTATATAATTTATTCAAATCAAAAAGTTCAAAAACCTAAAATTAAAATTATTTTGTAAAACAATTAAATTACAACAAAAATAAAATTAAATTAATTGTACCTAAATTAAATTTTATTCCTCTTTAACTAATACATTACTAAAAACTAAAATTAACACTAGGTCAATATATATATATATATATATATATACATAGGTATTAAGATTTTAGCATTTCCTATAATATTTTGTATACAATAATATTTAAAAATGAGCATCCGAAAAACATAAAAGTTGAAAATCATTTTATTACAATTTTTTTCTTAAATAATAATTAATTTGAACTTGAAATAATGAACTTGAATTGAAATTTTTGTTAATTTTTTTTCAAATTATAGATGTTCCAGAAAGGTTTACTCGTATTTCTACACATATATTTTTTTCTAACTTAAGATCTGATTCATAAATTATTAGAATATTTCGATTAAATATGAATTTTGAATTATTTTTATTTATTTATTCATTAACATATTTAATATTCTGATTAGCGTAATTTGTTAGCTAACTAAAATAAGCACATACTACAGTACAATGTTTACTTTGTAAATATATACATACAAGAATATTATAATGTTTACAAGAATAGAAGAATGTATTCGATAATGGATTCAAGATTTGAGTAATCAGCAACCAATATAATAGATAATTTAGAATTTATTTTAATTATATGCGAAATAAATTTTTAGAAATAACAATAAAAATTAACACTTTCATATTTTAGTATACACAATTAAAAAGTATGTATAAATAAAGATTGAAAAAAGAAGTGACATTCTCTTTGTGAGAGAAAATTCTAAATAGCGCCTAAGTATATGTTCTACATATTTATTTATTGACAATGACACTTAAAAATACGTTAGCCTTCTTTTGTGTACATATACTTACATCATGTCATTTGTTTGTTTTTGAAGAATTTTTAACTGAATTTATTATAACTTCCAATTTACACACATGTACATACATACATGTATGCAAATACAGCCATTATTCAAAAAAAAAAAAAAAAATTTTTTTTAATACTTCTGTGCAAATTTTTAAGAATTTTATTTATTTTAGGTATAAACTAAAATAAATAAATTCACACGTTCTTTATGACGCTCTTAACTTGCTAAATTTTTGTAAATTTTAATTTCGAAGATCGCAATATCGCGTGTACATATCATTTTTTTCACGTTAGTACAGAATGTGTAACATTACAATATTATATAGGTACATAATATTCAAATATATTAAATATGCATTTTAAAATTCAATTTAAAGGAATAGTGCGCAATAATTATTTAATATTTGCTTGTTTTAAATGACAACTTCAGTTTTATAGTATTGATTTTTTTTATAAACATTTTCCCCCATAGATAGCGTAAATAAATTAATTATCATTCTTTCTAATTATGCATATTATAATAATGAATGTTAATTAAAACCAAAACAAAAATTAATCTTATAATAATTTTCAATTCATTCGTTTACATACATTACATAAATGTTAATGAACTCCAAATCCTTGAATATTTTTCATAAAAACAATATTTTGAATATTATATGTTATCGAATGTTCAGTTTTTTAAAATTAATATAGAAAATTATATAAAATTTCAATGTCAATTAATATTTTGATATATATATATATATATATGTGTAATAAAATATTAAAATGTCCACTATGTTAATTCTTAAAATTTAAACAGGTCTTATTAAAGTTGCGATTTTTAGTTATTTTATAAATGTTCTTCTAGAAATGTCTAAAAGTTTCTAAAGAACTTTAAAAATTTTGATTTCAATTTATTAAAATTTTTTTTTATAAAAGTAAAAATGTTATTTTTCTTTCTTTCAAATACAAAGTGTTAATTATTACGAGTACAACTATACAATTGTATATTCTCAGAGGCATGTATATTATTAGTTTTATCTATGTATACATATAGATATATTTAAATATATTTAGGAATGTAGCTATATATTCATGCATGTATTATGGAATGGCAGTATCATGCAATGGCAAAATTTTTTTTTTTTATTTTATTATTACGTGCTACCTTTTTCTTTCAAGCGTAAAGGTGTTAAAAAGAATTTTAAAAATTTTCAACTATATTCATAGAATATCAATCAAGTTTATCCGAGTTGAATGTCAATATATAAATAAACGATTTGATTTATTAATAAATAATGTTTCATCAAAACAAGACAAAATGAAATCTACATAAGTATATTCTATATATTGAAAAATATTTCATTAAGTTCCAAAAATTCTTCAAAAAGCTGGATTATGATAAACATAATTTCGAAAGCAAAAACTACATGGATATTTGACAGTATAGCTGTCAGCGTTATACTTTAGACAATTTTTAGTAATGAGCTTATAATAATTTAGAAAAATTTGACAAAGATTGAAAATTTAATTAGAGAGTCATTAAATCTTGCATAATTTTGAAAAAAATGCATCCACATATATATATTTATTATATATAATTTAATTATAATATATATATATATATATAATATCTATAAAATTTTCACAATCACTTTTAACTTTGTTTTTCTAATTGCAAGATTTTTTCTATTCAATGTACTTGACTTACCAAATATGATGAGGTCTATGAACTTAAAAAATTTAATAGAATTTGAGCTTAATTTTTTCTTATATAACATCTATATATGTATGTACATATATATTTCTTCATATATGATACAAGGTAAATGAAAAGTGAATAATTTACCACCACCTTATATCATTTAAATTTTCTCATTTCGAATACAAAATATTTTCCATTATTTTTATTGTTAGATCACCTTCAATAAAACAAAGATGAAAAAAAAAACAAAAACATTGCAATTCAATTTTCACGTTTTTCTTTAGCAAAAAAAAAAAAAAAACAAAATTGAGAACAAATTTTTAAGTATAGTTTTTGTCTTCTAAATTTGCAATTCTATAAAATTCACTTTTGTGCTAAAAATTATAAATTCAAGGTGATTTAAGTGGCTGGAAAAACAAATTTTTAAAAATATATTGGAAACAATTGTAGATTTAAATAAATTATAAAAATTAAAAAAAAAATTATTGCACATATTATATTTATTATATAAAGGTATTTATTATGCAAATAGATGGGTAGAATGATTGCACGCATCCGAAGTGTAAGAAAAATAATAATTCTATTGCAGTTCACGATATTATATTCAAAAAATCAACAGCTAATGTAGAAAACTGGTATTTTTTTTTTTCTAGAAAAATGTTAGATAATTATTTGTGCACTTGTAATTTCAATGAAATTAATTAAATTTAAAAGTAAAAATTTAAGATTGCCTTGCAACCCAGATTCGAATCCAATTAAAAACATTTTGCTTCAAATTGAGAACAATTTATCAAGATAATCTACAATAAATAAATCATTGTTACTTAAAAATATCCACTAAATATAACTGAGACTTAAATAAATTTTAATTATTTAACAAAGAAATTACTTTTATAGCAGACGAAGAGCCAATTAACATGCACTCTAACCTCCTTTTATTTTTTGAAAAAATTTGCAATCAAAATTGCAGAATGCAGAATAGGTATATAACGTACATATGTACATATTATATTTCCTGTTGTTTAGCAGCATTAATAATTTTTTAAAGTAAATTGATTTTATTTTTCACTTCACTGTATACAATAGTTTAAATATAAGAATACAACAGAAAAATGTATGTACATAATATATAAATTGCATATATACGAAAATGTGCTACTTAATTACATTGATATATTCGATAACTTTCATCATAATACGTAATAAAAATGATATTGATGAATTTATTTACGATATTGATGATATTCCAATATATACACAAGGGGAATAAGAATTTCGTACTATATTATGCACATTCCATAACATATGCTTTAGTATTTTTAATTTTAAGTGTAAAACGTAAATAAGCTTAGAGTTTATGTACCTAATATACAAGTAACAGTTATGTCATAAGTATTTTTTGTATTCTTGTAACAGAATTTTTTAATTATTCGTAAATTACTGTTGCATGATGAAACTGTAACTACATTTGTACAAAAATCACTTTAGATTTATTGAAATTTGTATTTGTTTCGAAAAGAGGAAACAAAAATTAACATAAAAATTTAAAATTTACAAAATTTCAAGTAATTGGTGAGATAAAATTTTAATAATAAAGTCTTACACAAATATTTGCTTTTAAAGAATGAGAACAAATTGCACGAACGTTAAAGTGAACTTAATAAAACAAAATTTTAACATTTCCTATTTTAATTCAAGCTAAAAAATTTTTAAATTAAAAATTTAATGCATACCTTTTATTACAACATTTTAATACTTTTAATGCAACATTTTATTACAAATAATAATTGCTCTGATGGCAGCGCTATCACATTCTCATAGCGGTATTTTCTTTCAAGTACGTATTTTAAAATATACTTGCCACTCAAAGCATTAGTTTTCTCCTAAAATTAAATGTGTAAACAAGATCTTAGCAGAAATGTCATTAAAATTTTTAATTTTAATCCTCTGTATTGTACCATCTAAGTGCCAAATTATAAAGTTAATATTGCATATACCGAACAACAATGCAAAATTATAATTATGTTTACTAAGTATATTATTAATAATAGAAATTTTTATTTTAGAATCCCACTCTATAAAATGTCCAACATTGAATATGAGCACTTAATTCAAGACATTAAAATTAAATGCAAAAATTTAAAAAATTCTAATCAAATTTTTGGGAAATCTGAAATTCAATTAAATTTATTACCTAATTATAAAGATGTATAACAATTATTAAAATTATATTAAATTTTGTTTATACATAAAAAATTTTATTAATTTTAATTGTGGATTTAGGAACTTTATTATGGTATAATAGGTCTTGGGACACCATCACAATATTTTAAGATACTTTTTGATACTGGATCAATACCACTTTGGATACCTTCAATTAATTGCATTGATAGCTGTGGATGTTGTAAATATTATTTTTAAAATTAGTATTAAAATAATTTACAAATTTATTTATTTATTTATTTTAGTAATACATAATAGATTTGAGAGCAATAATTCGAATACAACATATTTTAATGGCAAAAATAATTGGTTTTATTTTCAATATGGAACTGGAATTGTTTCTGGACATTTAATAAATGATATACTGCAGGTAATCGAATAAATTATTGGAGCACGATATATATAATACTTTTTCATCGCGATGCATTGTCATTCCAAATTAAGATTTAATTAAGCTATTTTATTTCATATTTGTCTAATGCGTTCAGATTGTTATATGCCCTTAAATGCAGTACTATAATTGAAATTTGTTCGATATTAGTAGCTTATATTAAATTAATATAGCCTATATTTATCATCATTCTTTAAAATTTTTCAACAATGCTTCAATATTACTTTATAATAGTTAATTTAGATCAGTTCTAGAAGATGTGATTTCAAAACTGCATTTTAAGAAACATTTCTATTACAAAAGGAACACATAAATATCTATACCCACTAAATAATATAAGCAAGAGTATATATTATATATAGAGAATCATTTGAAGTGTATTTTATTTGCGTCATTTATTTTTCATTTAATTTTCATTAGATACGCTTTATAAGTTCACTTTAGTGATTCCCCGAACTTACTCATTCTAATCAATGAATCACAAAAAACTTATCTTAAAAGCTTGTTATTTAGTATGTTCTGCTCTATGTATATATACAATAAATATTGTACCTCAATAAAGAACAAGTTTTAAAAATGTAAATGAAAACAAATAGGTGTAATTTTCAATGGTCAATGAAAAATTATATTATCACATATTTTTCATTTTATACTGCTTCCTTATACGAGTATTCATTAAAATGTGTAAATTTCATTACTTGTTTTAATAGATTGCTGGTAAAATTGTAGAAAATCAACAATTCGGTGAAATATTTTTTGAATCAAATCCTTTATTGGAAACGGCTGCATATGATGGAATTTTTGGCTTAAGTTTAAAATTAAACAACCTTAATATCAGTTCACCTCTCATAAATATTTGGAAACAAAATTTAATTGAAAAACCATTATTTTCCTTTTATATAAATCGAAATACATCAACACTTATTAAAGGCGAATTGAATATTGGTGGTTATAATACTAATTTCTATAAAGGTAATTTCCTAGTAACTTTCAAATTAAAAGTTAGCAAGCATCAATTTGAAAATATTGAAAATTTTCGATTTAAGGATTTCAAAGAAAAATCCACAAATATGAATTTTATCATACTTTTAACTCATGAGATTATAGTATTGTGCTTGGCCACTTTAACCCAAATTACAGAAATAAAAATTATTTACTTAAAATATTTAATCTATATAAACTAAACTCTTATAATAGGTGATATTCATTACCATAATTTAACAGGAGATTCATTTTGGACAATTGAAATCGATTTTGGTTTTATTGGAAGACTAAAATTTTGTAATAATAAATGTAATGCAATGATTGATACAGGATGTCAATCAATATTTTTACCTCAAAAAATAGCAAAATTAATTAATAAAGAAATTCAAGCTTATCCATCAATTAATACAATTGAACCTTTGCATATTGATTGCAAAAAAATAAAATATTTACCATCAATTAATTTTATTATTGATTCGAAAACATATCAACTTAATGGAAAGGACTATGTAGGAAAGGTAAAAGTAAAGATTTACCTATATTAAGAATTAATTAAATTCTTGGTATTAAAATAATTACAGATGAAAAATTATGGTCGAATATTTTGTTTTTCACATTTCATCGGAGTTGAGGAAGAAAATTTATCACTTGGTTTACCATTTTTAAAAAAATTTTATTCAATTTATAATTTTAAAGAGCATAAAATTGGTCTAGCCGAAGGAAATTAATATTGCAATGCATCCGTATATCACTGAAACCAAGACTTCAATACTTCAATTAACATTTCATTAATGTGAATATGCAAGAAGTTTTCTAATGGGGAAAAATCCTTATAAAATTTGATAATCAACATTTTTAAACTAGATCTAATATATTTTCAATTAAAATAAAGTGTTTTCAATTCTTAAAAATAATATAGTTTTGAATTCAAAGATATACAGGAGACCAAGTGACATTTTTCTGAATTTCTAAATAGTATTTTAACAGAAAAAGATTAATATTAATTTTTGGCTTGTGGATTTTAATTGTATACATCGTTCTGCTTATACATATTATATTTGCTTTGAGTGAGAAACTAAAAATGATTTATTCTGAAATCAAATTTCTTAAGCTTTCTTTTTAATTTAAGCATAGTTAAACTTTAAACTTTCAAAACTTCAATATTTCAATTAAGATTTCATTAATGTAGATATGCACACGTATATAGGTATATAGGTATGTATTTTTCTCTAACATATTAATATTTCGATTTTTTTTTTGAAAATTAAAATTCAGAAAACAAGTGGAGGCGGCATATAAATATCGAAAAAAGATTTAGCAATTTAGAGCGACAATATGACAATTAACCACGCATCTGTGATTATTTAAGTATAACAGAGAAAAATCATACGTTATGTTTTGTGTTGTATAATTTATTTGAATATTAAATAACAAGTTTTAGATTGACTAAGTTTTAATATGCACCAAAGAAAACAAATGTAGCATACTAAACTATGACAAATACAAACCACTTGTATTGTTTTTGTATACCAGATACGTATAGTATACCATTGTACTTGAAGATTTTAAAAAATATTGTGAATTTTTTTCAAGATTTTTATTGCATACAATAAGGCTTATATGGGTTATGACTTATTACAGTTTCTAAACTAAGAAATTTCGTTTTGTTAAACGTGTCAGTTTTTCTTATTATATAAATAATTGGAATATTTCAAATTGCTCGTCGATTTTTTCGTTAAAATAACATTTTAGTTTAATATTTTTTATGCCTCGTGTTAACAATTACAGCGTACTCTTGCGTAATAACAGAGAGAATTAAGACTATTTCGAAAGCACTCTATATATTAATTCACTTTCATACAATGTACATACGTTTGTATAATTTTGAGAACATGCAATAATTAAAAATCATTATGTGCAATGTAAATGTAAATGCATTCGTGTTAAGTTACAAAAAATTATTTATACACATTTAAATTTTTTTGCGACGCCACACATTTTTTTTTATGATGAAAATACTGGGTGGTTCGGAATTAGTGTTAAAGCTCTAGGCTGGTGATTAGTATTAAAGCTCTCGGCCTTGGAATTTTCTAAAAAGAACAATATTTGGATAAAGAGGGGGGATGAGTTCGGATATTTAAGGATATTTTCAGAGGGTTAATGAAAATCTGTTCGCAAAGCATTAAATGTGTATCATAAAAAAGTTTCCTAATTGCTTTTTTATTTTTTCGATTTACTGCATTATCATTTACAACTTGATCATAATCATTTTCATGTAGTGTTATAAAATAATTTTTAAAAATTTAAAATTTTTTCTTTTTCGATATTTCATGTTTAAGTCTGAAATCAACCAATATCCTTGTGTAGGTTTATTAGTTGAGAAAAAAATTGTGAATGCACATTACCCTAATTGAATGCACATTACTCTAATTAATATTTGAAGATATAGATATTTATCAGACATGATTTTTCAATTTGCTTAAGCCACTTAAAGCTGCTCGCAGACGATCAAGTTATCAACCTTTCCCCACACGAACAATTTCTTTTACAAGAAACACCAAAGAATATAGTACACCCTGTATATAACACTATATAGCTATAACAGTTTATACACGTGAATTAAAAAAAATATATAATTGATCTTCTTTCACGTTTCTAATAAAAACGATGAAATTATTCATTTTTATAATTCATCATTATGACACTTTATTTTATAATTCAATCCGGTTGCATTCAAAAAATTACATCATTTAATTAAAATAATCATATTGGAGAAATTTTTTGTACTTCCACACAAATAGATATACATATATACCATGTGCATGTGTGTACAGGGAGACTTTTTTAATTTAGTTTTTCGTCTTTTTATTTTTGACATTTCATTAATGATACACATTATACGTAGTTATGAAATAAATTTGGTTTGTTTATATTGCTGTTTCATTTTATCATAGAGAATGTCTAAAAAGCCCTTCCAAATTATTGAATTATTGAAAATATTAAATTTATTGCGCTACAACAGTATATTTTTAATACCACAGAGATAATGCGAATTAACTCGTCTAGAAATTTTTTTTTATGAATATATTATATCAAATATCCGGCAACAGTTGCAATTTCAAAAAGTATTTAACAGTATTCAATATTACTCGCGTAATATATATAGATGATCATATTTCAGCCGAATTAGATAAAAATTTGCTGCAAGTTTGATATTTCGAATGCATAATCTTCGAATGTTTGTCATACGATCAACATTTAAATAAGTGTTCTTTAAATAATAAATGACAACTATTAATTAAATTATTTTAAATAAAAATTTAATGCAATTTTTTTAATTTGTCTGTCTTTTTCTTTAATTTCAAAAATCCACGATTAAAAAAATCATCCATTATATTTATAAATTGCAATACTAAAGTGGAAATTACATAATAATTAATAATAAACACATATTCTTAAATTATTATTGTGATATAGAAATAAAATTATAGTCATTAATTGTACTTAATATAATTGTTAAATGAGTGTTATTTGTACAATTCATTAATAGAATAAATACATAATTATCAAAAGAGTAATACTTTGTTTAAGTTAAGCTTTCTTGTGGGATATTTGTTTTTATTATTTACAAAAAAACTTAATTAAAATGAACATGTGCAGCTTTTGATATCTAAAATGTGCATATAATTATAGGATAGCAATAAAATAATAAAAGATGTAAGGATCGAATATAATTTTGTTATATAAATTCGTATAAAAGTATAAGAGGAATAAATCGATTTTAATTTTGAGCGTTTAATAATGTCTGGTAGATTAGAACATCATTAGACTCATATTAGATTCTTTTTTCTCAGAATTGCAATTAGCATCATTTCGTTTGAATTGGCTTGTGTTTTGGGCTAAAGAATTAACAAATTTCGTGATTTACGTGTTACTGATAAAACAGCTACATATTATATATTTCATACGTATGTTATTTTTTAAATAGACATACTTGTTTATGTACATAAGTCAACTCCTATCCTAAAAAACAAACTCTTTTGCATTTTGAACTTTTAAATATGTAATGAAAAAGTATTAAAAGCTTTGAATTAAAAAACAAAAAAAAACTACTTATATCTATATAATTATTTAAAATTTAAGTTCAATTATTATTATTTAGACTGTAAACTAGCAACACAGGACATGTTATTAAAGAGATTCATTGAACTTATTTTATTATTGAAAAAAAATAATATTAAATTACAATATTGCTTATGAGCAAAATAGAAATAAAGAAATCTGATGAGCTCAACACATACCAGACCATACATTCTAGTCGTCATAATTCCCTAAAAATTCGCCAGTTAGTTCCGAACGCAAATATTTTTTTTATTTCCTTTTTTACTCCTAGGAGGAGTATAGGGCTAGTGCATGATATCTATTATGCCCTAGTTTCTATAGTCATAGAGAGTTAGCTAGGTAGGTGACTAGCCTACCGTAGTTTTTATTTATATTAAATAGTTCAGTTTATTAATATTTACTGTTTAATTTTCTTAGTCTTTAGTATCGAATATTATGAATATTTAAAAATTACTTGTATAATAGTTATTAGTATTGCATATTAAGTTTTATAATATTGAATACAATTTTTATAGTGACCTGACCGGGGTTTGAACCCGAGACCCTTCGGTTAAAGGGCCGGTGCCATAACCACTGCACCAATGGTCAAGTGAACTCAAATATTAAGTTTCAATAAATTCCGTCAGTTAGTTCCGTAGATATGGTAAAAATGTAAAATCGATCTCTAGTTCAGTTTCATTCTTGATCTTTCCAAAAAAAATTTATAGGCTCATTGTTTTAACATCACGTATTTAAATATTAAATTTCAAAGAAATTGTTTGGTTATTTCTCTTTTTATATGCGAAAAATGTAAAATCGGCCGCAAATTCTATATCTATCGGCCTAATCGGCCCGACGTCTGATATATTCCAAAAGTTGATTAATCCGTGACATAGCTAAAATAAATTTAGATAAAAAATTTTATTAAAATTAGGACAGCCGAGCTTAAGATCCACGCATGCACACAAAGATCGACAGACCTACTGATCAACACATAGATCGTCGTCCGACAGACAAACCGACATCACTCTAAAAATAGTTTATTTACACTTCCCTACTGTGGTGCAAAAATATCTCAAATTTGGTCCCACCACATCATCTCCCTTATAGCATGCAATGCAGTTGGGAAAAATAAGATCGAATTACCCTTGCATATACAATTGTACCATTTTCCGTAAAGTTAAAAATTTTTTGCACATATAGAATTGTAATCTTAACACTGATAATAATCATCAGATGCCGCTCTTCATTACTTCTAGCACAATTTTTTTTTGCTATATACTATATGAATTCATGAAATCGTATATCATTAAAGTTAAATGTAACAAAAAAAAATTATGTAAATTAAACGTAATAAACAATAACTAACAACAAAAATTATTAAAAATTTTATTTAACATCCAGTATTTCGGAACATCTACCCAAATAATATTTGTCTATTAATGGTAAAAATGATGAATATAATTAAATAACATCCTATGTATAGAAATATTTTATCTTAAAGCATAATAAAATTACATATACATAAATACAAAAATATAATTCTGAAATTATTTTAACAAAATAAAACAAAATTAATGAAAAATTTCAAATTCAACTAGTTTTCCGTGTAATAGAAATCATAAATAAAAATTATTATGTAAAATAATATTATAACAACAATATTGTTTTTTTAATTTAAATAAACATTTTGTTTTTCTTTTTATAAATTTAATTAACAACTAAATAATAATAATAATTAATTAGATACTGTTAATAATATTATTTTTTCTTATGTATATTAATTTCAAAGTATAATAACTTACATAATCGAATGATTTACAAAATATACTTTTATTTTTTATTTAATTTGGAAGTTTTTCAGCACTTTTTTAATCCGATTTTATAAAATTTAAATTTTCATTTAAATCGCACTCTTTTATGTTTATTAATTATATTTTGAATTTAGTTTTAACATTTGAAATATTTTTTTTTCTTAAAGCCAATTTCAATGACTTCTACTTTACACCCAAAGTGTAATTAAGTCTAGATTATATTTTATTTTTTTTAGAACTTCTAAAAAATCTGCTTTCAATTTAAAAAACCAAAAATCTAATAAAAAAATTCAATTAAATTGTGTCTGTTTTTAATTTTATTTTTTAATTTTTTATATTATTTTGATCCTTATTGTAAGTATGTAAACAAAAAAATTAAGTAGCAATAATTAAAATTAAATTTTTTTTTTTTAATTTCAATTAATTTTCAACAATATTTTTTTTTTAAATTTTAATTTTATTAACTTAAAACAACAAAATAATGAAAAATTTTCCTTAAATTTTTTTTTTTCTTTTTTTGTTGTTAAACTGTTGACGCCTTGATGAAAACTGAAGCTTTTCAATTTACCACCATTGTTATTTATAAACTTTTTTTTTTCCCCAAAAAGTTAAAGCAAAAAAAAAAACAATATTTAAAATAAGATGAATTGAATTTTAATATATTGAAATTTTGTTATTAAATATATATTTATACAAATATATGGATGTATGTAAAAACAAGACGTAGTTCATAATAACAAAAATTTTTTACTTTAAAGAAAAAAGTTAAAAAAATAGCGCAGCACTGTACACAATTAAACAAAAATACTTGTAAAAGCTTAAAATAAAATTGGTGTTGTGAATTGAATGTGAAGTTCAACAAAAAACAAAAACAATTTAAAAAATAAAAGCGGGGAAATTATTGTAATAATTATGTGGTGAATAAAAATTTTCATTAATTTTAAATATGTAAATTGTAATCAAAGTAATCAAACATACGTACATGGTTTTAAACACAACATAAAGAAATGTTTATATTTTAAGTATATGGTGAAAAGAAGATCGACGAAATATTGCATATGTATAACAGGCACATAGGATATTTTTTAGTATATTTGTATATTCAAAAAGTATATTCATTTACCGTTACTTGATATAGTAAAAAGAATATTTTGAACGTCTTCTTTAATCTACATATATATATATATGTGCTTTTATAAACTATATACTCGTACAATGCAGTATGTCATAGGTATGTTTGTGTTTTATTTTCTCAAAATTTGAAGTTCTCAACTAAAATTATGAAAACTACGTCCACAGATTGCTTCAAAAAATTTACAAAAATTATGTTAAACGCCTAAATCGTAATGTCCTGAATCAATTTACAATTTTATAAATTAAATTGTTATAAGAAGAATAACTGACTTATCTTACAGCGAATTCAACCCAAGAATGTTGATGCAATTAGATTGAAAGCATAATTCATTTTCATATTATGAAATTTTTGTATTTTATTATTACATTTTACCATTTTTTAATTTTTTACCATTATAAATTCACGATGTTCTCTTATGTAGTGATTAGTCCTTGATTATGAAAAATATGGTTTTATTTGCTCTATATCAGTAACTGTGTTACAAGCCATTCAATTTTCAGACCATGTTTTTGTAGGAGCGAAAATATGCATGACTAGGTAATGTAGTAGCAGATTCCACCATATTTATACTCGTTTCAATAAACGAAGTCGGATAACAATCGCAGTTTATCTATCTTCTACTATGTAATCAATGATACAAGTCTATGGTAATGGTTATTTTAAAGAGTTTAAGCGGATATAATTCTGCAATTCGATGTTTTTATTTTAAATAGAGCACAATTTTTACAAAATTTCTTTGCAAACTTGAAATTAACTTTGTTGCATAATGTTTAATAATTTTTTATAACACTGATTATTATTATATATAAGCGAATATTTCAAAAACCTAATTGAATACATTAATATTTTCAAACAAATTTTAATTAGCTATTTCCGGTATAGCTACTAAAGTTTATTTGTAAATAATTAAGGAAATTTCACTTTCATTTAGAATTATTTTTTGATTTCAATGAAGATATTTTCTGGGTGAATGCAATTAATGTTGTAGATCCTAAAAACTATAAAAAAAATAAAAACTGGCTCAACAAGGTGTAAGCAAGCTTGTATTGATAGATTAAAAGATTTTGTTTAAAAAATAAAAAAAACAAATTATCAAAAATTTTATAAATTTGAAAACAATACCACAAATATGATGTCATTCACCTTAAGGGCTTTTACTCCAAGAAACAAATAATATTCGTAATATTACGTACATATAATGTAAAAAGCAGTTGTGCTGTAGATAAGATATTTAAATTGCATTTTAATAATATCAGGTTCTACCTATAAAAGTACATTAAAATTTATAGATTAGCATTTGAATTGAAAAATTAACAATCAAATCATTCTAGCTATGAATCATAGTGTCTCAGGGTAATTACTGAAAACATGAATTATAAGTTTTGATATTTTGTTAAAAAGTGTTTATGAGTTCACATTAACAGGATGTATTTTACAATAACGGAACCTAAAAACAGTATATTGGCTGTATAATCAATATTATTATATGTATAGTAATACATTAAGCATATTAACCCGATAGTTGACTGAGAGTTTTTTACTCCGATTGCAATGATACTTGGATGATAAATCAAACATTCATTATTGAATTCATTATTCACAATTCTACATAATAACATTTAATCTACGCACTTATCTAACTAATATTCAATTAACAACTTGAAATTTGGACAACTCTTTATAAAATTAAATGAAGTTAACTAAATTTAGAATAATATTATTTATTAAATTATAAAAATAAATTCCTTTTTTTTTTGCATGCCATATATGTATATACTCATACACATAATTACAAACTCTTTCCATACAATTCTACTTCTATATATGCATATATGTATACCACATTTTTCGTTAAAATTTATGATAGACATTCAAATGTTTAATTTTTTTAATTAATGTAAATAAATTCAACATCAATTAATTGTCAATATATAAACAGAATAATTCATATTATTACAAAATAATGAATAAATGCGGTTTTAATTATATAACAATATTATAAAATCGGACATAATACAAAAATTATTAATTACTAATTTAAAATTAATTGTTAAACAATAGAAAGATACGTACAAATATATTCATTTATGCAGAGTATAGAAAATTTGAAATTTATTGTTATTATAACATTACTCTTTAGTTTAGAACATTACAATTTTATACAGGATCAGTAAAGTTTTATCTATCAATGTTTCTAAAGTTAATCATTCTTTCCGCTTCTACTCCGAAATTATTCAAGAAAAAAATAATAAAAAAATTTTCATAGCTGGCCTCTGACTGGTCCAGAAATTCGGATTAAGAAGTATTTTACCAGTGTTAGTAATGAATTGCTAGTAATGAATTATACATTCAATGAAAGTTTACATTAAATTAATTTAAATTTTCTTAAAAATACTCAATTTCACAATACAGCTAAAGCACAAATACATTAACATACATATTATATAAAATAATTATAACAATATAAATTGAAGCTCATTGAATTTAAAAATATTTCAAAAAGTTATGTTCTAATTACAATAATGAACGCGTGTTCTTCTCATATTTAAATTTCCTTAACTAAATATAAAATGAGCTTTTTAGTACCTATGTATGTACGTAACATATTTATAGCTTTAATTATGTAGGTGAAATGCATTAAAATTTCTGGAATAATAATTATAGAATACTGTCTCTATATAGAATATTTGTAGTAACAGAAGCATTTACAAATTAAATAAGCGATTATACGCATTACAAAATTTTCCTTTGTAAAATAAAATTATAATAAAAATAATCAACCGACAATAATTAAACATTAGTAACTTTTTCAACAAAATTCAAACATAAAAACAAACATAAGTATATAATATGTACATAATGGTACATACAATTAATATTTTTATAAATTAAATTATAACTTTATAATTTAATAATTCAAAATTAAATTATAAATAAGTTATTAATTAAAAATTGAATTAACATGAAAACACTTAAAAATAGGATTGCCAGTCATTCTGTTTATATGGAATTGTGGATTTTCGTGCCGTTTTTGTATGGTTTTTTCTCCAATCGTTCGCTTTTTGTAATTTGTTTTGACCGCAAAACGTGATAATAATGAATGCATAACGAATTGTATGAACTGTTTGCTTTCGTTCAGTCTTCTATATTGTGATTAAGAGAACTGTGTGATTATAATATTAATATATAATATTTAATATCTATAACACATATTATTAATAATTTTAAATTAGTCACTTTTTCAACAAATATTTACTGGTATCTATTTTGCAATTCAATATTTTTTTATTTTTATTTGTTTTATTAATTTTATTTAATTTTGGGAAATACTGGCAAGCTTATACTTGGGACAATTTTTACATACCAGTGTACATGTACAAAAACAATATTGTTTTAGTTTTAGATTTTCCAATGTGTTTAAATAAAGTAATTATTTCTAAATGGAAATTTTTATCGATATTTTAAAAGTTTTTTCCCTAACGAAAGAATATTTTTTTGGAAGCAATATAAAAATATACGAGTAAAATGAAAAAATTCCTATACAAATTCCTATAATTAATTTTTAATTCAATAGGCGTAAGAAAAAATATAAAATAATAAAATTTTTATTATTCTAACTAAAAAACTACATACGTTTGTTTAATGTTCCAATTTATAATTTCAAACATATGAAAATTTGCGTGAATATTTAAATAAATGCATATTAGGGTGGATAAATTTAAAGAATTATTTAAGGATTTCAATAATTTCTTAATGTTTCTTAATTTCTTCTGATAACTGGTAAATCTTTATGACAATAAGAGCAAAAATTGTTTAGTTTGCAATATAGGTTCTTTACAAAATAATGGAATAAAATTTCTTTAAAAAAATTGGAAACTAAAAATTGAAAATATCAATATTACAAAGAAATTTTGTTCTTATAATGAACCGCTCTACATATCTACATCAACTGTATGTCTTTGCAATTTTAGATTCCATTGCAAGAAAATAAGTTTGTGTATACAATGCTAATTTAGAATTTATTAGGAATGCTAATTTCCAATTTAGATTCAGTATAAACAAACAACTTATTTACCACATTAAATAATTCACTTAACACTTTTACAAAACATTTCTACATAAATTTCTTTTACGCATCATGAAACCATTTCCTTTTCTTTTATTAAGAAGTTGATTAAATGAATTTTAAATAAAATTAAAATGTGTATACATTTATGTATATAAAGTTAAGATAATAAATAATCGTGATAAATATAATTTCAATTTCTTACGTCAAAAATTTTAAAAATTTTCCTATGACAAAACTTACGTATGCATATATACATATGTGTAATTTAATGCTTTATATCTATATCATACATTCATTAATTATTTCGCCTTTACAATATATATTTTAAA